ACTGGATCCATGGTGTGCCATCCTCATCATAGTGAGCGTTGGCATCCTCGGTGTCAACCTCATCACCATACTTCAGCCTGTAAAGCTCTTTGACCTCTGCCAGCTTTTGCTCGAGCTTTTCAATCTTGGCTTCGAATGATAGGCTTGTACCAGAAGCCTGCTGGAGAGCCATTGAACTTTTGTTTGTTTCCTTGTTGCATGTTGTAGCCCTTTGCATTTGCTAAGATTCCTATTGTTTCCACAACACTATACAAGCACGCAGAATTCCTTTAACACCCCTTGTCCTTCATTTGAGTAAGCCAAGGAGAAATAGACACCTGCGAAAGTCGGACCAGGAATGGAAACAAGGCGAAACAATATCTTGTAGTGAACGCAAGGCAATACAAGCGCGATGCGCCGGTTTTGCCTGCGAGCTGTATTCACCTGGGACAGAGTACCGAGCAAGGACTGCACATGTTACAACATTCCTGACTCACCTCATATTGTTCTTGCATTAAACTAAGCTGATCAAACTGCTGCAGGAATACATCTACTGAATCTACTGAAAGTAGATTTCCTGGCTTGGGAGTGTCATTCTTTTTTGACACTCTCGAAAATACAGCTTCGAGTCGAAGAGACGGAAACCAATCTGCCTCCAGCGCAGGGGCTGCCACCCGCGCCACTGTCCTGCACTATCAACTTGCCATTGTTCACAAGAGTTTTCCCTTCCGCCCATAGCAGCTATAGCATCATTTTCACACTCGATACACTGCCTCAATCTTGCCATACTTGCGCTCGTAGATCTGTTGGACATTGCGAAGGGCATCCTCGCAATGGGCAAAAGCTCTTAGAGATTCGTTCCCAATGACGTGACTGTAAACGATAGTTCTTTAAGAATCCTCCAAGTTGTCAGGGCTTTCGAAAGGTATACCTGGACACATGCAAAAGTAACAGCAAAGTGATGCTGAGACAAGAGTCACAAGACGTCGCAGACGCTATGCATTGCTGGAGCTGAGGAAATCACAATCCTCTGGCTCCTCAGGAATTGACAGTTGCCTCAAGGACCAGATGTCAAAACATCTCATGTATCAAAAGGCGACAGTGGTGACAATCTGCTCGTGCCTTGTGAGAAAAGGGTGGTGGTCTTCGTCGAAGTCATGCTGAGATGGCAAGCAGCACCACAACAAAACAAACTGCAGTGATGATGAGATTTGCAGGTCCAACCATTCGTATGACTTTTTTGTTCACTGAAAGCTGCTGAGTTGCTCCGTCGAGGTGAAGGCTGGGGAGGCGAAACTGCATGTTCGGAGTTGTCCTGAAGTCTGTCGCTTCAACGAAAACCTTACTCTCTCCGCCTTTCTTACACACTCCCTCCGTCCCTCCGTCCCTCCCTCCCTCCCTCCTCTCTTCCCTCCTCTCCTCCCCCTCTCTTCTCTGCTCTTCTCTCCTCCCCGCTCCTCCTCTCATCTTTTCTTTCTTCCTTTCTCTCTCTCTCTCTTTCTCTCTCTCTCTCTCTCTTTCTTTCAGCATCTCTCAGCCAAGAAACGGTGCCGTGCTTGCCTTGCAAGGCCAGGAGATGACAAATACTAAAAACCCTCAACCATGGCGATGATGCTAATCATTGCTAATCCTTGCATTCATGCTTTCCTTCTTTAAAGCTTCGGACGATCCGCTTCAAAACTCAAAAATGGCCTGTGAAACAGGCGTGGACGCGAAGGCATGGTGATGTGCCTGGAAACGAAATGGATCGAGGGAGCGGAACTGAAGCAAAACGCTGAAAAGCTTGGGACGCCTTACTACTCCAAGGAAGTGTTGTCGTTGTCGCTGTGTTCATCGAAAGAAAAGATGCTAAAAATACTTCACAGTGAAGTCCAAGATCTCAGGGCGAACACAAGGAAAACAAACCGGGTCAGGTTTTTGTGCGGTTGAAGCCGACCTGTTGAAGCTTGCCCCAAAAGCTACAGGCTTTTGTGTGATTTCCGACGTGTTAAAACCTTTAGCTTGGCCATTTGGTCTTCTCATGTTTATCTTCGCCAACCGCCAACATCTGATGCCTTCGCTGTCGGTATCATGTCTTCTTGCGGTGCTTTTCGGTTGAGACTATATATATATATTTCCAAGGAGTTCATATTGGGAAGACTTTCTCTTCATTTGGGCCACACCCCTGCTCGTCCGCCAATCCTGACTATATAATAGTAATTCAGTTCAGCTGAGCAAGGCAGTAATCTTGCAACGCATTTGCTAAGTGCTCTTATAGCTTTGACTTTATTCAATCTCTCGCTGCCTGGAGGGAAATGGCAAGTTGTGCCTTTCTGGCTGTACAGCATTTCAGCACTGCAGCATTCTGTTTCAATATCTGTGGCCGAAATGTTCAGTTGGGACCGCACTGTATCGAAAGAAAGGCACTTGAAGCTGGGTACCTTCTGTCAGATTGACATTGCCCTAATGGCAAAGCGTGCGTAGCTAATGCTGCTCTTTGAGCTTGCAGGAAGGCAGAGGTTCAGCCTCTTGCAAGCTACGCATACACATGACACGGGAAGGACACTATATAGATAGACCAATTCTACTTGGATTCCAGTTTCAGGCTTTGACTTCCACTAGAATCGCTAGAACTTCAACTCTAGGTGGTGTTGGTACGTGGCTTCGTGCAATCAACCGATTTTGAGACAAAAGGGTTGCAGTTGTTTGAGAAACTTACGTGGAACCCCTCTGTGTGTGTGTGTGTGTCATTATTTGGTACACGTATGTATAGCCTGGTAGAGCAAGAACTGCCAGGTTGATAAAGGTAAAATATGGTAAAGATCGGCAGAGTACAAGAGCATGATGCCAAACACTGAGAAATGAAACATCCCAAGCCCTACATCACTTGCCTCCGTGTGCTTCTTCGGGTCGAGGGGGCTCGCGGGCTCTGTACCGGCGAGCCCCCCAGCGGCTATCTCCTTAAGCTCCAAATCAGGACGAGCAAACCTCGGCCCAGCCGGCAGAAAGAGCGAATTTGTTTATGTGTCCTCCTTTTAACCTACTTAATCAAGTAAGGAATTGAGGTAGCTAGTAGGTACAGGACGCTCCTACTGACAGGACGCGCTAGACTAGACTATTGATTTGGTTTCTAGATTGTTACGGAAACTTAACATCAGCGACTCGTCAGCGGAAGCTCTCTGTGATCCGAACGACATCTTGAGTACGGACTCAAGTAAAGAACTAGAAATGCACGTTTGCAGGAGCTTGAGCTGAAACTGGCACTTGAACAGCAAGCAATGATTCAGCCGCGGCTTGGCATAGTCGGTGTTCCCTGACAAGCCATACTTGTAACTTGGAGTTCAGCAAAACACAAACCTTACTCGAAGCTCGGCAGAATCTTTTGCCCTTCACGCGATCTGCATTGTTGCATTGTCCTACAAACACCTTGGCCCTACCATTTCGGGCTTTTCAGTGTTTCCTGCAAAGTTCTTTGACCTTGAGACACATTGGGCGTTCACGATGTACAAGTACTTGCAAGCAGCGCGCTTCAGTATGTGGGCGAGGATGATGCCACAGGTGCCTGCTCAAAGTATGCACAGCGCGTCACAGTTTGAATGCCTCCATATCGTCCCGTATCTAAAGAGGCGCGCCACCAAGTTGGTTACTGGCGAAACCATCGGATATGGAGAAGCCTCAGTCAACAAAGTCAAGAGCACCAAGGCACAATGAAGTCAACAAGTCAAAGAAGAAGTGCCCCTGACATTCACTGACATGGCTGCCACGTTCCCAAGTTTGAGAAGCCAACCCCAACTGGTCCAAGGGTTGGTTGCTCCTTGTATACATGTTCCAAACATGACAAGTTGAACAAAAGACATTCATCACTGACCTCCCATCGTGCCAAAGGTAATTCCGGAAGTCCATCAACATTCCGCTTGGCAGCCTGGCACTATCTGCGTCTCATGATCACCTCTCTCAAACCCACTCACCTACTCAGTACCCACTCTCCTACAAATACTCTGTGTATTTGCTTCTCTCTCTCTCTCTCCCTCCCTCTTTCCCAATGAATGGAATTAGAAGTGCCAAAAGCGCAGGCCGACCATCGTGTGCCGCAGAGCTAGATGCTTCTGCAGTTTCTGCTGCTGTGCCATCTGCTCCTGGCACGAAAACGGGGAAAAAATGATTGCGGTAAAAATCCGCCACACGTTTTGGTATTACGAAGCGGTCCTCGAGATTACGAACTCTTAGTCCAGCCTTTTGCTGCACCTGTCCAATTCAGGCTGTCAGTCTAGCGAGAGAGAAAGAGAGAGACCCGCTCTCATTGCGGGCACTGTATACAATAAACCAACCAGTGTTTTTGACAGCTGACAGAGAACTTCGCATCATTTTGTCGCGTCGGTAGCCAGTCTCTCTCTATGAGACAATTTGGATGCTCCGTGATCAGTGCATGCAGATGATCAGCCTTGGTTCAAACAGCAGAAGCCAAGAGTAGAACATCACAAGGAATAGTCCGGTTATGCTGCAAAGCTCATGGCTCAGAAGGGTTGGGTCATCACTGATGAGGACGTGCGTTCTGGCCTGCGATGTTTGACTTCACCCCACTTTTCACGGTCCAACGTTTGCAACCGAGCTCCCAGCACTCGCCTCGAGGAGTTCCAATATGTCCTCCTCTCCGATCCCCGCTCTTTCCCAAGATGTGCGCTTCCAGGAGACCTCTGAGATCGATCGAAAAAACCGATCGATCTCCACTCTCGACCTGTTCGGACCTCCCGGCTCAAGGGCTGCAGCGTCAGCTCGCCATTGGCTGATCTCAAAAGCTCTCCTACAAGGGTCACCTGGGCACAGCGAACTCCCGAACTCCCACTGAGCGATGCCAGGAGCCCCGAGTAGCTTCTTGTTACTAGTGCTGGAGTCCGGACTGTTTTTGCGCTTTAGACTGTACACCGGCCACCTCTCTAACATCCGTGTTGGGGGTGTGAACTATTGGCAAAGGCATTCACAGCCCCAACCCTTAGGTTTCGCGACAACACAGCGTTTGAGACAAGCAAAACTGGCTATTCTTCTGATAGGCGAGTATGACAGGGGCTCACCAAGCCCACAAAATTTTAAAGATTGATTTGATCTACTTGAATCATCACAGCGTCAAGATTATCTGCGACATCACTAGCAAACACGCTTCGTCGGCTGGGTCAGCGATTCAACAATTCCTACACGCAGCACTGACCTTTGATGACAGTAATCATATGTTATTATCTGTTCACCGTGCTCTGGGCTGGCTGGTAAGGGACGTAGGCGTGCAGTGGTTGCCTGAACCCTGACCATTGCAGTATTCCAATTATTCTTTATAACCACGCTGTTCGTTGTTGTGTGTATGGTTGCCTTGTTAAAATCTTCATACGAGCACTTCGACAACGACTTCAGACACTCCCAAGAGCCGCAATCTATGGCCCATGCTGTGTCTCCTGTCTTCAAGCAGCATTCATGAAACTCCACAGCGGTACCTCAAAGTAAACAACACAACAGAACAGGTACAAGTCAATGCCTTCGAGCTTAGCGTTCGGCCTTTTGCTCTTAGCTCGTTCTCCAAGGCATGATTGTCCGACGATCCGGTTCCTCCAATGGTGAATAGTTGAGAATGCTAGTTTAAAATCGTGGGTCCAACTGAGAAAGCGAGCAGGAGATATGGCGACAAGATGTGACTACATTATATTGTAGCTGAGACCTGCTCCAGGCAGATGGACAGAGACAAAGTCTTGCCTTAGAACTGTTCCCAAATGACGGTCACTAACACGCTGCTTTTCCACAGGTCCAGTCCAATGATCTGGAGCACATGGAAAAGGTAAAACCTCTTCGCTTTTGGCAACACAGCGAACCGCAATGCGGCGAAGCATGCAAAAATAACACGTTAGAGTAGTCATGGCCTCTGCAAATTCGCATTCTTTCGTAGCGAAAAGGTTCACCTTGCGCCGCTTTTGCTATGTGTACAACCCACGTGCTGGAGGCGACGAACTGGGCCGCAGACTTCAGAGCCGGCCACTCGAATGACCACGGAAGGGGAGCCCCGCAAAGTCACCGAAAAGTCCATGTGCTGCGAAGCAAAGGCCAGCGGCACTGACATACCTACAGATTCAAACACTCAGATCATAGATCATTGTCGAATTGCTTTAAAAACTAACTGTGCAAGCGTGCCAAGTAGGCCTGCAAAGTAGAAACTGAACATGGTTTTAATCGGGGCTAATACTTAAGAGTCCCTAAGAATCTAGGAACCAAATCATTAAGAAGCGCGAGCTATCCTGCGTCCTAGGTAGTAGCGTTCTTGTAGCTACTAGCTACCTAGCTCCTACTAGCTACTACCTCACCTCTACTCGCGGCCTACCCCCACTAGAAAATAAATATATATATATATAATAAATATAGTAAATATGTTGAAAAAAGTCCAAACATCATCTCCGCACCTCCGTGAACCTTGCGAGAAGCATGAGCCTGAAGGTGACTAGCTGTCACGAGAATCCGTGAGAGCAGCACCTGGGGCCCCTCACCGTGTACAGAACACAAGGTCGCCGAGTTAGGGGTGATTGGAGAGGTTCAGTGTCAGCCTTGGCAGTCAGCTGATCTTAGACCAAGTCCGCTGCAGACTTTAAGTCACCCTGTCCTAAAATGTGCAAATACGCAGGACCGGGACACCCTTTAAGACACGCGTGCAGCGTGTGCCGTAGTGGCGGCTCGAAGCGTAGGTCCAACTTAGAGCATCTGCTTAAAATCGCTCGGTAACAACGAGGACATGAACCAAAGGGTTTTAGCTTTTGAGGGGGGAGACCGCCCCGCCCGCTGTCCCTCCAGTCAAACGCGAGACCTTCAATCTACAGAAAGGGCACATAAAGCCTGTCACAGATGTTTCAGTTGAAGCCCGGTCGATGTAAGCAACCGCCAAAACCAGCGATGGCTACTCAGCAAAAAGCGGTCGTTGCATTTAGAAGTTGGGCCCAAAGAGGCCCAAAGCTGTAAAAGTGAGAGGCCCCCCTCTCAACAACCATATCAATCTCAACAACTGGCATTCAGTTCAAAGCATGGCTGTGGCCCTAAAAGGAATTTTCCCTATCCAAAACGGTGTTCCCTATCCCACAAAGGTTTAGGTCAGGTGTCAATGACTTTGTTGAGTTTGTGTCTTGTCGTGAAACATTTATATACTTGCACCAACAAAACAATGACAAGCCGCTTCGATCATAAGCTTGACTGGATCGAGCACAATGCTTGATCTCTTCAAACAAATGCAACGCCACGTTTTACCACAGCCTTTTGGATCCTGCACCGGCTCTTTCCTTCACAGATGGTTGTAATCAAGCAATTCAGTACTACAATGGCATTGAGGGCATGCAGCATTGACTCGCTGTCCCTAGCCGACATAGCGTCCATCACCAAAAGCAGAGCTTCAGAAACAACTGTTCGATTCCTTCAAAAGAAAACCATAGAGACTTGAAGCGACACAGCTGTCTTTGGCGCGCGGGTTAGAATCAAGGCCAATCGAAAACACGGAGTCCAGTACCACAACTATCTTGGGTTCTCCGATATATGATATATCATGTAATGATTGAAAGCCAACACATCAATCAGTGTCCGCATGGTTCAATACCTTTTTTCAACCTTGGTCTTCCTCCGATGTGTTCCTTTTGTAACTTGCAAATGGCTTTGTGAGGGTGTACAGGGTACATGCAGCACGCACTGGGTTCTACCTCAATTGGACAAGCAGCCTTTAGCTGCATGCAACCTGCTCGAAGCAAGAGACATTGTTGGCAATGACTGGGGCAAAAGGTTCATGCGGCTGGCTTCACCGCTTCACATATTGCACCTATATTGCACCTCATCGGAGTGAATGTCCCAAGGCGCCAAGGAAGATGTGCATTTCCGGAGAGTATTTCTTTCAAAGCACATGAAGCGTCTTCCATCTATGGAGACCTCATGCAAAAAGAGGTGAAGGTGTCGGCGCCGAGCAAGGTTGCAATGAATCGGAGAGAAACCCCCTATGGAAGAAGGCGCAAACTCGAGAATTTGTGCGATCCGAAGGTAAAAAACATACTGTTCCTAAAAATGGAAAGCTTGGCCAAGAAGGGTTTACGCAGAATTTGAAAGATCGACATAGGTACTAGGTACAGCCTGTTCATTGAACCAAACGTTTTGCATCGAGAGAATCAAGTCGGTACATTGAAGTGATGGTGAGAAGTGAGAGTGGGAACTGTTACTGTTAAGCATCTGCAAGTCCTTTATATCACAATCATTGCAAGAGGCAGATCTTGACTCAGGTCTATCTGACTTGTTTGCCAGACTAGATAGATCAGAAACGAAAAATGTCAGGAATGCCTCGACTCTGAGCTTCACTCTGGATCTTGGATCACCGCTTCAAGTCTGAGCAGCCTCAAGAGACTGCAGATCCCAGCACAGGTTTTTGTCTTTTCGATCCTTTTTTTGAACCCGGAAGAATGCCTCTATCTTTCACCAAGAAAGCGTAGCTTGATGTCAAAATCAACATGATCTTTCTGAGCTTTGTGCCAGCGGCTGCTCATGGGCTTCGAGAAAGTCACATCATATCCACCAGCAGAAGGAAGCAGCTTTTCAACCTTCGAGAAGCTGTAAAACTGTTAAAAATCTTCAATGGAAACTGTCGTCCTTCTTTGTGCGGTCCAGTCGCATGGGGTGCAGCACTCACGGGCAGCGCCTGATCGCCACAAGATCGCCCGGTGCAACTCAGACGAATAAAGCCTTCTTGTTACTAGTAGCTTCTTGCTACTAGCAGCAATGCCACGAGCCCCTAGTAGCTGCTCCTAGTAGTATGGCCAGGAGCCCCTAATAGCTTCTTGCTCCTAGTAGCGAATAAAGTCCGCCAGGCCCCGGCCCAGCCTCTATGCACGACCGAAGTCCGCCCGAAGGCCCCAAATCTGAGTTGTGCGGATCCTGCACTGCATTTGCAGCACTGAAACTTGCACTGCACAAGATCAGAGTTGCATCTAAGTTCTTGTGTTATTTCACAGCCAAGACTTGCTGTCAGGCCTTGTCGTCCTTTTTTTGACCTGAAATCTGCGTCCAACTACAAAAACTGCCAATGCCATAGCATCGACATAAGTGCTCTTGAGCCACCGACTTTCGCACAGCACATTGACCCAGACTCCCCTCAACCAGGCTTGCCTCAGGCTTTGACCAGGCGACCGCCAGGCTTGTGTCAAATCACCTGACCCTTGAGGCTCACCAAGGCTTTGACCAGGCTTTTCGAGGGTCCCTCTGGTCGGCTCACACGTTCCTTCTTTTCCTCCAAGACATGTGTGTTCCAAGATGTTCCAAGTGTTTATCCTTGTCCTTGTGTAGAAAGCCCAGCCTTTAACTCGCTACCTGTGGGTTCCACAATGGCATGAGATGCTCGCTTGATGACCGTGTCAGCCTTTGCAAAGGGGATAAAGCACACAAAGCGCGCTCACCCATCCGGAAGCCAGAGAAATATGTGTATCGTGCAGTTTAAGTTTCTCCTAGTCTAGCCGAGTTCAATGTGGCACTCTCAACTTCTCTCAGGTCATTCCATGCCTTCACAGTAGCCAAGAACATCAGCCCAAGAAGAACTGCCAGAACGAGAATGAGAATGAAACAGCACCTGAGACTGGAGATGGTGCGAAGATCACAGAACTCATCTGAGCTGTAGAAGCACTACGACAGCTCCGGTGCGAGACCCCCACAGCAGCATATTCCGCCCTCCGTGTGCCACCTGAACTGCGACCATCACACTCTACTTGCCATCAAATCTTTCTGGTTGGGTTTGCCTTGGTGTGCACGTCCAAGCCAAACCTTCAGGAGTTTCAGCAAATCTATGTGAAGTTTTAGAGTTGCCACCCTCACATGCACTTGCAAGACAAGTCCGAGAAAAGGGGCGAATGGTGCTGCTCTACTTGGCACACAACGCACCGCTGCAAAAGAACGGCCTCTTTGCCATCCAATCCACAAGAACATTCTCCCCAGAGCGCTGCACAGTTCTCTCCACCTTCAAGAAACTATTTTCTGACTGCTTTATAAACATGTTGAATTCTCTTCATGTCTACCAGGCAAGTAGGATAAGCAGCAAAAAGAACATTACATGCAAGGACCCAGAAGAACACTCGCTGTAGGAAAGGGTTCATAGATGTGTGTGAAAAAGAATGTGCGGTTCTTTGTTGAATGATTGCTGAGGATTGCTGAGATCCTTCGCAGGCCTCACGTCTTACAATGGAGGGCGTGGACAACTCTACCACAGATGCATCATCGGAGTGTGCAGGGAGTTCCTGACATGCTGATCAAGCACACTGGATGCAAAACAAAGCCACTTTGATGTCAAAGGAGGCACAGCGAAACAGGAAGGGGGAGGGATTAAGGATAGTGCACATTTGCTATCCGGGTTGACTGCCTACGACTATCCGAGTTCCCTCCTCCTTCTTTTCATCTCTTCGTGGCAAGGTAAAGTCATCACTATCCTGCGGCAAAAGAAAGCAAGCAAGTCAGTGTGAAGTCTTGCTCAGCCCTGCTTTCGACAGTTGTTCTGAAGAACTTGTCATCAGCTGGGCGACTACCCAAGTCTTCCTGTTCTATGCAACAACCTGCAAGTTGTGTTGAAGCAAAAAGAGTGCCTCAGGTTCTCCCTCCGCAGCTGGATCCTCTCCGATGTGCCGGATACAAGAATCCCTAAAGAATCGAACAATTCAGTTCACATGGCGATAAATCCACAAGCAAAGGTTGTTCAGCATTCTTTATCTAGAGGTATTATTGCAAAAATGCAAATAGCAACATCCACATGTGTAAAGCAAACCAACCAAACAAAAACAATATATATATATATACATATATATTGTAAGAATGAGGTTTGTCCCTTCCCTTCCATCCTTCTCCACCCTCACTGAGGGAGGAGACAAACCATCCGCTACACTCGAATTCATCCAGTCCTCCAAGTCATCCAGGTCCAAGTCCTTGGCTTCAAACTCTTGCAGCGTGTGAAGACTCAAAGACTTGCTTTGACACGTTGCATGTTGCATGTCTTTGCAGTTTGGGATCATCCTTTTCGTGAAGCTCGGCCACATCCCTGCCAGCCATTGGCATTTCCCCAGTCTCCTCAAGCTGACAGCAACACTTTTAGAGGAAAAGCTTGTGGAACACTGCTCTCTGGAAATGTTGCCGACAAAGAACGGTTAGACTCATTTCACCCATTCCGAAACCCCTTTTCGCTTCGAGCGTCTCTGACAATACGCATCTCATCGGGCCGGTGAAATGGTCCCTGGCACCGAGCATGCAACGGATCGCGATGCCAGGAGCCCCTAGTAGCGTCCTTGCTCCTAGTAGTAAGGCCAGGAGCCCCTAGTAGCTTCTTGTTCCTAGTAGTAATGCACTTGTTACTAGTAGCGATGCACTCAGCTACAGCAAAAAAACACACAGGATCCAGCCTGTTCCGACTCTTCCTGAAAGAAAGTCACGGGGAGGACTCTTTGTCCTCGTGCCTCAGAAAAAAGAGAATGACCAAGCGAATTACAGTGGCATTGAACCATGCCTCCATTCTCCGGTTGGTATGCTTCCTCTCAGGCCTCACTCCCAACTTCAATGGGGCAGCAATGCATAGTACACACAAACTTCCCTTCGGTTTTCCGAGTGCTCTGCGCTTTTTTCGAATGTCTCACTGGCTTTCGGTGGGTCAGGCTTCCTTTCGAATTCACCTGACTGTTTGCAGTCAAACCTCTAAGCACAATAAAAAGAACATCAGCTGGCCGTTCAACCGTCACTTCGGTAGATGCCTTCGGTTAGATGCCTAGGTGACTAGGTGCGGGAAAATACTTTCATCATTGGCCACACCTCTGGTAAGCGGAGAAAACATAAGAGCTTCTTATTCATGTAAGAGATTCTCTACAGCAGGGTCAAAAGAATATATCGCAGTATCTCTGAAGCTCATTCGGCATTCAAAACTTTAATTTAAGATGTGTGTGTATATATATATATGTGTGTGTATATTACTCCTTCTATCGTAAGAATCTCAGTCCGAATGGCCTCAGTCTCACTTTTGGCGCGTGACTTCTGAACCTCCGAGGTTCAAGACGTGTCAAACGAAAAATGGCAACGTGTCAAGTTCCTGTTTCTTCGACCAAAAAGACGTGAGTCACTTCGCCTTTGAGGTCACCGGGATCTGTCTGTGTCTATGTTCTTTAGGCCTCCCTTCCTCGATCCTTAGTCAATCAGCAAATCCTGGAGTACCTACTAGCGCCTCCAACCTGCTAGCGATGGCCTCCAACCTACTAGTTACTAGCGATGGCCTCCAACCTACTCCCTGGTACATGTCACCTTTCTACCATATTCGGGTCTTGAGATACTGTCACCATCATTACGTCTGTCCGTTTTTGCAAAGAGCTTTGCCCTTTGTTGGAAAGCTCTACTCAATAGAACTGCAAAAGGAACTCAACCCCAGTTGATTGAAAGAGTGACAATGTGATGAACTGCTTGGAGTAACTGTTCTTTTGCAGGCACCTGATCGGCCAAACATTTCCAACAATCTATATACTATATAAGTTTGGTAGCCCCTACAAACCTTGCGGCATGTTGCATCGCGAAGTGTCTACAAAACACTGCAGACTGCAACCGATGTATTGAATTGACATTTCATTCAATGAATATGCGTAGAACAAGCATGACATGACGTCGTGGCAAACCTTGAATTGCCACATCAAGCTCAAACTCACATTGCAGACTGACACTCTGGAATGATGTGGCAGTAGTCATACAATTACACTTGTTGAGAACCATGAGTTCTAACAAGCCAAGGTGCTGATGATCTGCATCATACCGCACCTGGAAATGCTCGGACTCTTTTTCGATGTCCAAGAGCTAAGAGCTTCAGTAAGCCCACGACATTGGACAGCGTTCTGTCTCATGTTGAGCGACATTGTTCGGGGATGCTCACCGGAAACAGGCAAAACAAACACGCATTGTGTCGCCTCTACATTCGACAGCCGAGGCCCATGTCTGGCTTCCTCAAGAGCAATTCCCGATCGTACACAAAATTGGAATTGTCCGATCGAGTTGGCAACCTCTAGGCCGTTCGCAAGCAGAATTGAAAGCCTTGGAGAGTAAGGACATGCACTGTTAAGAGCTGCTATAGCTGCTTGAGATAGCTTGCCGTCAAGCCACAAGCAACTAATCAGGAACTGCATCGCATTTAGAGAAGCACCTCCCAAGCGGGGACAAACAGTGTGCATCCTTGGGCATGCTGACTTAGATTCTCCAACCTCCGAATAGGTTCGAAAACGAGGGCGATAACGAGGACCAGCAAGCCTCAGCACACGTTAGAGCAAAGGTCCTAAAGATTCTTCCAAAGAGCCAACTTGCGCTGAGAAGCTACTGTCGAGCAACTTGCTGGTTCGCAAACATGGATAAGAATTATAGACAACGATGCGGGCGGAAGGCCAACCACAGCCCTTCCCTTGGGCCAAAGGCAGCCATATTCAAAAACTTTTGGCCCGCATTCTCAGCAGCTGCACTAATTCGCTTCTCAGCAGCTGCACGAACTAAACCTAACATGTGCCACTTCATTGGCTAAAATAGATTGCCTCCCAGTGGTGCATCTCAACTTCGTGCTTATGGCGATTGATGTCCTGCAGCTTTGATCTTTTCTGCCTGTTGGGCCCTCTTGTGACTACAAAGGGACTCGAGGCTTGTCAAGCAGTGAAAGTACAGAAAGCCTTCTTGTATCCAAAAGAGCTTTTGAAAAGCGCAGTAAAGACACGTCTCTTGGGCTGATAGGCTGGGGCAATGAATCCCTCCTCCTGGGTTCGGCGAGCTTGGTATTCAACCACGAGCTGATTAGCCTGCAGTTGAATCGTTTCTTGATCGGCTCAAATGACATCAAGTACTGCAACTTGAAGGACAACAAAAACTTATCTTTCAAAAGAGTGGCCTGCTCCTCCAGCTTCAAACGCATTTGTCGGGCAGACTGGCGAGTGCTTGAGCTTGCAGGCTTCTACACGTGGCACAGTTTCAGGTAAGTTTGAGAGTTCTTCGATCGGCCTCATGTAGCTCAGCCAGGGACTTCTGAAAATCCTGTTCTGCAGATATTTCCTGGTGTCTCCAAATGAATCAAAATGTCTCCCAATATCTGCAAGTGTCAAGTATTTGTCCAAGGTCCAAATGAAAAAGGTACGCTTCCTGCGCTCTTAGGTGCTGATCCCAGCGACCAGCTGCAACCTGACCCAGGGGGGCACAAGCTGCAACCTGACCCTACGTAGTCTTCGTCCTATTCTGCAAGCAAAACATGTTGATTGCAAGGACTTCATGTAAAGCAAGAGTTTGAGTATATGTACTTTGTATGTGAAGCAAACTGTATAAGCAAACAAGAAGAATGCAAACAGTCAATATGACTTCGCTACAATTTGTCCTTCACATTGTCTTCTTTGAAGCTTGGACGCCGACCTCTTTGGCCTGTGAAGCCTGGGCGCGCAGGAAGTCTTTCTCCCGCCGTGTCTGATCCTAGTCACAAGGCAGGCTCACAGGCAAGTACAATTTGAACTTTCTCTGAGAAACAAAGCTCATGCCTTGCAAACTGCCACCCTCACCTCCAAAAGCAATTGCGCTTGATGCAACTGCTCATCCACCTCCCGATAGTTCTGCTCCTGCAATGTGTTTAGCTTCTTTGACTTGTTTGTCAGACGAAGGAATCATCATGTAGCATGATTCAAGACAGCCAGAGCGTCCTTTTGAGCATTCACTACATCTGGAGGAGGCAAATGACGAGTGAGGCTTGCCTTAAAGGGTTCACCAAAGCATCCTATTTCTGACCAAGCCGAGAGTCTAGATGTTGTTTCAAATGTTGGAGGCGCGCAGTGGCAAGGCGTGTCTTTTTCCGTATCGCACTCTCCGAGTCCTCCTTTCGAGGCTGCCTCTCTGCTTATGCAGCGGCTAGCGATCGATGGGAGCAATTCCACTTCGAACAGCTCCAACTGTTTCGCATTGAGGCTATGCAGCCATCGAGCATTGCAAAACTAAACTGGGAAGACTTCGTCTAGAAAGAAGCCATGAAGTTATCTGCCTCACCAAGCGGAAGTACGAAGGCCGACCTCCTTAAGCCTCTGTGACAAGACCTGACGTTTGCTTTATCTTCAAGAGAAAAACGTACAAACGGTCAAAATGAAGCCATTTGATATCCGGGTCACATCTTCCAACGACGTTTGCTTTATCTTCAAGAGAAAAACGTACAAACGGTCAAGATGAAGCCATTTGATATCCGGGTCACATCTTCCAACGACTGCAAAGCCTCCAACTCCAAGGGTCCAGCCACTTGGTCCTTCAGCGCAAAACTGACTTGTCAGTACGTTTCATAGAACAAGGCCAGCTTACTTAGCCTAGGGCACTTGATAGGGCTTGGGATGCAAATCGTTGAGAAAGTAGAAGCATCCGACAGTGTTGGTCCAACAGCTCCATTCTAAATCGCTCACTGTGCTTTCCACACCCCACGCACCACAGCAGGAGTTCGTCAAATGTCACCCAAGTTCATCCTCTAAATGTGAGTCACCTCATTTGGCATGCTTTGCCCAAACTCTGTTAAAATTCCCAAGCCTGTGCAGTCTGGCCAATCTTTCGCGGCTAACTTGTCCTTGGCAGATTTTACCTCAGCGTCATCAAAAGACTAGCTTTAAAAACCTTGTGACAAGCTCAGTGAATCTCGACAACAACTGGAACAGCATTGGCCCAAAGACAGCACAATGTGCTTTACTGGAGACGCTGGGCAAAATGGGAATGTAGACCCTTGGACACATTTTGGGGGGATGAATCCAAGGAAGACCAGCAGAGTACAGAAACAAGACAGCATGGCTACGGTGTGGACCTTTAGTGTGGAGACCTGAACAAGTCAATTGTGGACACATGTGCAAACCAGGGCAAGAAAGCGACTTGTGACAGGATGGAGTCTACGCTGTTTGAACATTAAGTGTGCCACTTGGATCAGTTGCTTCGCTAGCCAGGATTTCAAGTCCAAGAAAATATCGTCCTTGCAAACCCGGAAGATTCAATGACCATGAGCGATGTGGTGTGAGCGTTTGGGTTCTAGCTCTTTTGCTTGAAGGCCAAGAAGCGAATGAAGCCAATTGACCAGCTCAAAAGGTGACGTACCTGAAAAGAGGAAAATCGAAAATCTGGCCTCGTTCAGATTCTATTTTTCTTTTCAGCCTTTCTTTCCGTCCCGAGGATCCTGGACATCGCTAGCCCAACTACAAACAAGAAAACACACTTTAGTGGACAGTAGACGGAGTATATCCCTTGATATGTCTTTTCTTTCATCAAAAGGACACTGGGAACAGGCGGTGACGTCCCGTTGCTGTGATCTCACATGTCTCCCGCCCAGTGTGATTGTGTCAACTCAAATGTTCTCGAACCAAGCTTTAAACTGGTCAGCTCTTTCGTGTGTACCCATTCAATACACACTACACACACACACCACACTACATATACAGTAATAGTCTAGCATAGCCTAGCAGCACAGCCTAGCTGCAACACAAACGCTTCATCTTCCGACTGTTGTCCCATATTGTGACCTGTTCGAGGCGACACCTTGTTCACCCGTCCCAGCCTGACAAAGACCTCAGACCTCCATGACGGAGAAGGCTGCGCCTGACCAGGACTGTTCATTTTCGGGACTGGCAAATGCCAGAATTCCACAAGAACTGTGCTGGGCCGCAAGAAGCCTGTTTCTGCAAGCAATTCCAGCGAGGCCATATCTACAAAGCAGTTGAAGGCCATAGAAGCACTGGAAACTGCTGATCGCAAAGGTCAGTTGAGCATTGTCCTCTTCTCCGCATCTCTTCACATCATCTTGTGAAGTACACCTTCATTGATGATGGAGCTGCTGCACTCAGCTTGGATTCGCCCTGTGCCGTAATCTTATTTTCGCCAATATACAAGTGCCGCAATGACGTTGCTTCTGGCAGCGCCGCTGCTAAACTCTCAGCACCTGCATCAAAGATCTCGTTCTCATCTATTCCCACCTCCTGAGATAAGCAAGCGAGCCTTGCGGCTGTTTCAACATTCATTACAAACAGGTCTCAAATGCTCCCGTCTGTACTGTAAGCCCACTCGGACACTTGTTGTCACTTGTTATGGGATTAGACCATCAGAAAAAAATAAAATAAATAAAAAAAAAGATCAGAACTTGGAAACCTGGTGTGCTGTGTCCACGTGTCCACAATCGTCTTGCTCCGCTTGATGAGTTCAGCCACTGCATCTGCAGCACCATTTCCAAGTTTGCAATGTCGGAAGCCCACCAGCTCCAGGGAACCACCTGGTCGGCTAAGAAATATACAAACCATACATCTGAGAGACAACAACACAAAGAAACGAGCAAGGAATGTACCTTTACAATCCTTTTGGCATGTTCAACTCGTTGCAGGCATTGGGTAAACTGGAAGCTTCCAAAGTGTGGGCCCGGCTTGCAGGGCTTGCCCGGCTGTCTCTGAGTGTCTCCTACTACTAGTAGCTCAACTCACGCGTTTGCCAAGCTACCTTCAATTCCAGAAAGAGCTTCACATAAATGTCTAGCCCCTTCGTCGCTAAAGTCGTTGTATCCAATGAAGAGCTGCCTGAGATTGGTGTTCTTCTTCAAATACGGAGCTATGGCAGCGCAGTCCGCATCCGTGACTTGGCGACTCTTGAGGAACAGAGTGCTGCTGTTCTGAAGGTCTTCCACACTTGCACCAAGGTTAGCTGGCACTGTATCCATTTGCACCGCAAAACCTTCTGAGCCGAATCTGTCCTGCAGCTCAGCTCAACGTCGATCATGCCAACCTACACATAGGAGTCGATGCTAGACAAAACTCCAATCAAACAAAGCACACCCAGGAGGTGCTTGATGTAGTTGTTACTGTACGTTTCTTTGTCTAGCTCAAACTCAAACAACCAAGATGATGTTTTGGACGGCATGTTGAAGTCGCTTGGGTTGCATAGTCATTGTCAGTATCAGGAAACTGCTTCGAGGGTGTCCTTCTCTTGCCAAACAGAACTTCAGCTTCAGCTCAAATGCACAGTCTTGCCCAGTACTCAAACCCTGTGAGCCTTCGTAAAGCTTCTCAGGCTTGTAAACCCGAGCTCCCAGGGTAGACTGTCATCCTGAAGCATAAAGTATCAGCTTGAAGGTTGGAAGTCTCCAAAGAAAGAGTAAACTTGCAGCTGTCAGTACTACTAGCAAGGGGCAAAGGTGGACAGTGACATCTAAGAGCAGCTCTATACCAAACACAACACATTCATGAGGATCACTGCCATCGTGAAACTTAGAAAACGCACGTCTGTTTTCTTCATTCAACTGGCGAGCTGCTCCGACTGAAATTAAAAGAAAGCCAGGTAGAAACTATCAAGTGATCTAAAAGAGGCTGGATGCCCCGCCGTCACATATTCCCAGGAGTACGAGGAAGCAAACAAATCAAGCAAAGTAGTATCTTTAGCATGCCAATCCAGCTTGATCATACACTCAAAAGGCAACCTAGAGAAACAAGAAAAGTAAGTACGAAGCCGATGCTGATACTCTTGAACAATCGTGCAATGAGCAACGCAATGGCAATCAAAATTAATCAAGGATCTCTGGTTGCATCTGTTCTGCAGGCGAAACCCCTTGGCTTTGAGCAAACTGAGAACTTTCCGCAAACGTGCAATTTTTGCACAGTACTACTCTCCTGTGGAAAGTCTCTCAATACACCTGCTAGCTGCTAGCTCTGCCATCCAAGTGACCACTTTCACTGCAAGTTGTCCATTGATCCCGAGGGAGCGCTGGCCTCTCAACAGCTCGAAACGAAGCCCATCTCAGCATTTCGGAGATGCTGAAACGACTGCCAAACATCACCAGCATAATGGAAAATGTATAGAACAAACAAGCAACAAAAAGCATTTCAAGCTAACCGCTGCAACAGTTGGAGCAGCACCGACCCATAAGTGCGCCGAGTGGCACATGTTCAAGAAGCGTTACTTGGTCTTGTTTTGCACCCACAAGTCAGTATAAATGCACCGATCCTTCCATTTCAGCCCTGTTGCGCTTAGCATCTTCTGGTGGACTGCCAATTGCCACTGGCACGAGGAGTGTGCCAAGTAATGGAAAGAAAAGCCTTGCTGGAAGCATCAGCTAGTCTCCATCGAAGGAGCTGGATCACCCAGGGCCAAGCACCACGCATCCATTGCACGGCTGATACCGGGCGAGTATTAGACGTACAAGCCTCAGCAAGCATTGGGATGGCATGCTGCAGCATCTTGGTATTATGAATCATCAAAACTGCACGCATCTGGTTTGTGTGAGCATGGCAAAGCTTAAGCACTTGAAAATTTACCTATGTGCCTCACAATGCCCTGTTGTTTATGGCATAGCAAAGTACAACTCGATAAAAAGCAATCCTAAGAAAAGCAATCTTGCTAGTTCTGATTTCAAGAACAAACGCCGACACAGCTTGAGTCTTTTGTCACAATGCGATGGGGGCAAATGTGCATTCACTTCCATACGGCCCTGCACCACGAGGGTCACAGGTGCCATTCCTCGACGGCTTTTCGATGACACGAAAACTATGCCATGCTGCTTCGGAAAAGTTTTCTGATTTTCTTTCTTGATACCAGCAACAGTTCTACACGAGGTGGGCTGCAAAGAAGGATTTGACAAACTTCAATGTGGATCCACGACTCTGAAGTGCTTTGCTTTCTGATTGACTTGTGATGGGATTCTTGTTATTCCTGTCCACATTTGTGTTTTTTCCTCAACCATACCCTGCAATGAAGCGACGTTAAAAGAACCAATGCGTTGGCATAGTCAACGAGGAACGGAACAATTAAGATAATCGGTTCATGACAGCATTATAGATACAGAGGTTCTGTCCTATAGATTCCGTATAGTCGATTCCATTCATCACCAGTTCAAAAGCGGTTTTCTTTGCGAGCCAGTTTTGCCTGGGACGACCGCACCGTTGTTAACCGTACTTCACTGTGTTTGGTGTTGTTGGTTCAAAACTTGCCTTGAAGGATAAACATCCACCTTTGTGTTTAACTATTGTTTTTGTTGTAACGAACTGGTGTTTCAGCTCCTTTCAAGGCATTATTGTCCCGCTCTGCGGAAGATTATTGCACAATTTTATATGGAACAAATGACTTTGCACGTGAATTGCCAGCCAGGTGGATTTGGGTGCAAGCAATGGAAGTTGTTTTTGTCGACATTGCTTATACCTGAGAAAGGGGAGGACGAAAGCCAGCGAGAAACCAATATGGTCGTGCAAGACTGGGGGGAAAAAATAGCGGAGCACTTATTGTTGAATGCCTGTAGCTTTCGTAGAGCTTGTATCAACGTGGAGTAGATCAAGATCGGAGCACAGCATGAAGTGTTGAATGTTTTTTCTCGATTTCCTGGCGCGATGCCCGAAAGGTGGTTTTTGGTTGTTTTCAATTGTGTTTCGGGCGCCGTGCATCAATGCGAAGCCCTATAAAGAGCAGGGCTGGGAGAAAAAAGTGGAGAGCACTCACTCTTGAATGGTTCTAGTTTTCGTGGAGCTGGTATCACTGCGACGTAGATGAAGATCGGAGCACAGCATGAAGTGTTGAATGTTTTTAGTATTCTTGATTTGCTTGGCGCGGCGCCTTCTGGAGCGTCCCTTGTTGGTGTTCTATTTGAGAATCCGTGCAAAAATAAACGTCAGTGAACACCAGGAGAATGATGCCCGAAGTGGCTTTTGTGGTTGTGTTGAAATGTGTTTCGGGTATCGTGCATCAATGCGAAGCCCTATAGAGAGCAGGGCCGGGAGGAAAAAATAGCAGAGCACCTATAGTTGAAAGCTTGTAGTTTCGTGGAGCTGGTATCACTGCGACTGAGATCAAGATCGGAGCACAGCATGAAGCGTTGAAGGCTTGCAGCTTTCTTGCTTCTCCTCTTGCGGCGCTCTTATCCCCAAGCCCCTACCTCGCCCAACTGGACATACTCACATCGTTCGCTCCCAGAGCGTTCACTCTTTGTTGCTTGGTCCTTCTTGGTGTGATCAGAGCTACACAGTCCCTATGCCCTGCTCAGGACTAGAAAAATTGTTTCCAGACCCCTTCATGATGCTAATGATGCACTACTCAGCGTCCATTGCCTGACTCGCATCACCAGACCCCATTTTCACTGCTTTTCTGACCCTTGCTTTGGAGCGCTCTCCCCCACCAAGCTCCGGGTTCACCCTCGCAAAATGTGCCTTTTCGCGCCCTCCCCCCCCACACCCCCTTAACTCACTTCATTCACTCTAAAGAGCTCAAGCCTAGCCTATCGGCTGGCTTTCGTAACATACAGATATATATATATATATATCACTTAATTTCAATGTGAGCTGTGGCCAAATGTTTCAAGGAGCACTAGCACCACCTCCATCAGTAGTTGTAGTACCACCATACTGCACTGCCTCCCACAGGAAACTATGCGAGCTAAGTATGGCATATATAGATATATATATGAACCTCGGGGCAGCGCATGGTGCACGAGGCTTGTGCCTCAACATATCCTGGCTGCCACATCCTGTGTGTCCATGAGTTAAGAGGGACTAAGAATGTGTATATTTTCAAGAAGATACGGAGGTCTTAGGCTATTAGGTGTACCAAAGTGACTTTCTTCGAGCCTACAAAAGCAGGGCCACTTGTTGTGTTCGCCTTTGGCTCTTCGTCGCTTCCCGGGTAACCTATGTTTACTTGCTTGGGGAGCGAATCTTGCTACAAATGCCACTTAGCACACAATGTTCTTCTTATCATCTTTTTGACCCTGAGGATTCAACCCTTACCACTGACTTTCGCAGTCTTCCTTTCAAAACCTCAAAGCCCAACTAGTCTTCCAGCCAAGCAGCAGCTGAACACCAACAGTTGAGCTGCATGAATATAACCAGATCTCAATTCCTCATTCTTTCAGGGTCACAGTGACTCAGCATGGCAGGTCGCTTCCGCACGTTTTGTCAATTTAAATACAACATGTAACTTGACACGTGCGATGAAATTTACCGAGGCTTGGGCAGGCCTTATATGCTCGCAAAGCTGCTGCAAAGGTACCTGGTGAATCTCTTCTTTGCAAACTTTGAGAATGCGAAACAAGCCTCGAGAGCACCAAGTCGAACTGTGCCCAAGTCGGTCATCCTTCAGCACAAGACTCCTCTGATTGGTTTGGTGAAGCGCACAAATGCAACTGCTAATCACTGATAGGTGAACCGCACCTGCTGAAAACTGCCGCGGTACCCAGCGCGACGAGCTAACCGCAGCGTACACGTAGCTGCTACGTAGCTTGAGGATAGCCAGCCCAAATCAATGCGCTTTCAACCCACGGAGGTTCTTGTCAAATGCAAAAGAAATTCATCAATGTGTCAAACACAAAATGACAGCACAATGTTGTGAGCATGCTGCTGGCTGGGGCGGCATAGCAATTTGCTTTCCACCAACCATTGCCTCCAGGTTGCTCAGTCTCAGTCTGGCTGACTCTTTTGTTTGTCTGTCCATGGTCCTATCTGCTTCCCTCCTTTTCTCTCTATTACACCAATCTCTATCACTCATCACATGTTCTAGCGCACAAAAAATATCGTATGTACAATCCAACAATCATTGACTCATTGAGTGCCTGGGTTCCCACTGGCACCGGCAAAGGCACCATTGCATGAAGATGAAGTGTTCCAGGCGAACCCTGAGCAGAACGATTCTCGAAGGGTATTTCACCACATTTGCACAAACGATTTGCAAAGCAAAGACACATAA